TGTTTCTAACTAGGCAGTACTATATTTTATATCAACCTTTCATAATATTAAACAATTTAATAAATCTTTACCTGAATCTAATAAACAAGAAATATATTACTATTTCCATTATCATTTTTAATGTATCTTTAAAGCATTTATGTATTACTACAGTTTATAATGATTTTAAAATCTGTTATATTATTAATATAGCAATTTAAAATATGAAAACTCCTATATATCACATGATTTTAATAATAACTAGTGACAATAATATGTTATTTTTTTTATCAGTGTTTACATAGTACCTACTGGATAACTTCATATTATTTTGCAAGATTTAAAAGAGAATTGGTTTATATGAGCAAATTAGTAAGTATCTTTTGACAGTTCTATATTAGAATCCTAACACACAAAATCCTAACACAAAAATACTGACAACAAAATTCTGACACTCAAATCCCAACTAATTAAAATTTAGACAAATCAAAATTCTGACATTCAAAATCCTGACAAAATCAAAATCCCATAAAGTTAGCCAAAATTAGTTTGAAGTTTGCTAGTTTTTTCAGGATTTTGACTTAGTCAGGATTTTGAATGTCAAGATTTTACTTTGTCTAGATTTTAATTTGTTAGGATTTTGAGTATTAGGATTTTGTTGTCAGTATTTTGGATTTTGTATGTTAGGATTCTGATATAGAACCCATTTTGACTTTATTTTTTTTTTAATGATGTTAATATTGTATATGATATTTGTCAGAAATACGTGATATTTAATGAGATGAGTACAATTCTAAGTCAGCATGAGACTATTAATAGTAGAATAATTGTTAGACTTAGCGAGTCTCTGCAACAAGAGTATAATAATATCTTACCATTTAACAGTAGCATTAACCAACAACATGAAAGATGTCAAACTACATTACAAAAAACAGAAATTGAGGTTAGAAGATATGAGAAAATTAATTTGAAAGTAAAAAGATGGTTAGAAGAAATACAAAGGGAGAGTGAGGATAATGAGATTTTTGAGAAAACAACTGAATTACAAAAAGATCTTTTAGAATTTTTCTTTTATTGTGACTGGTAATTGAGATTCAATGATTTGTAAACTTTTTTTTTTTAAATGAAATTGTTGATTTTGATATAAAATCATCAGGTAGAAAAAATTATAAAGATTTGTGTAAGACTTTAATGTAAAGTTTTACTTGTGTAACCTACTAGGCTTCAACTAAATGTTATATGATTTGAAAAGCTATAATATTGTTCTTTAAGTTTGTGTGAAACAAAAGTTATATAAGTGTAGTATTTTCTTTAATATATAGAGAAAAATCAATTTAAACTATAAGATCTTATTTCTAATTCTTAGAAATAATAAATTATCATTATTGTTATATCCGTATCTAAAATTCTCAGTCCTGCGGGACTACAAAATCATTGATTACTGAAGATTTATCAAATGTGGGAGTTTCATAATTTGCTTTAGTGTCATTTAAAAGATTTTTTAGAAACTATCATATTCTTAGTCTCTTATCAGATATCTGGCTGATGCAGAATAATGTGTTAGGTTAAATAATTCTATAAATAGCCATATCTCTTCTCCTGTCTTTAAAAGAAGTTTAAATATAGATTATTTGTTCGAATAATATAATAGTTTAACTGGATAATAATTTTATTTTCCTTATTAAGCAAAATTTCCAAGTTTATCAACAGAATATTTTAGCAAAATGATTTTATTTACATGATATGTAAGCAATATATATATCAGATTTGTAAAAGCTAAAGACTATCAAGAATTATGCATTAACTTTTTTTTTTGGCATTGTTAGATCTTTTAGCAATTTTTAAGTTATGAGCCACAACTATAATATTCTATATATATTATTATTCTATACAAACATTCTAATTCTAAAAGTTTTAATTTAAAATTAAACTTAATTTTAATTTTAATAATTTTAATTATAAATTTTTTTGTATTTCTTTCTTTCTTTTATTTTATGTATTATTAAATTAATAATAAACAGGTCACTCTGACCCATAGAAATTTAGTGAGATCTTCAAAAGTTGAAATATATGTCTGGTTTTATTGTGTTTTATTTAGAAAATTGTCTAAATCACGTTAATTAAAATCAACTAACACTAATACTAATACTGTTAAATTTTTATAATTCTTACTAAAATTAAGTTTCATAATTTATTCGCAGCTGAAATTAGAATCCCAAACTAGTGTCTCTAATTCATAACTTATTTTAGCACCTACTAGTGCCGAAATAAATACATAATACATTAGTATTGATTTTTTTCCCGCAAACAATATTTGAAGTCTGATGGCCTCTAGTGGTAGTCGGACTTTTAATACAATTAACTGTTAAAAAAAATAAAAAATAGGCTAAAATAGTGAGTTTTATAAATTTCACTTTCAATATCAATTTGATGAGTAATAATCATGAGTACTATGAGAGGCTGTAGAAGTTCAAATATTAGTGAGCAATACAGAGAAGATTGTTATTATATATTATTTTATTCTTTATAACTATGAAATTTTAGAATTTAAAAACATTGTAATGTAGAATTATGAGTAACCATTTAATTGTCTAAAAATTTTAATTATTTGATACCAATACAGTATTGATTTATTTACTTTAATTGTGAATACTTTTATTTTAATTTAATAAATTTTGCATTTGAGCAATAATCAATAAAATTTAATAGATTTTGCATTTAATAATTAAATAATAATGAATAAAATATCAATATAATTAAGCATCTGAAAGGAAAAAAATGAAGGATAAAAGGTAATAGACAATTTCAATTGATTTTATTTTATGTATAGTGTTGGAATCTGAATGAGTCCCCAGCCTAAAAACCACAGTTCACCTTATAATTTTTATTTAATTATATTAGATATTTCCATTTTTAGTTTATTGGGGCTTATAGAAAAATGAGAGTGTAGCTTGCTGCTAGATTAAAAATTAGGCTTGGAAATTGAAATGTATACGTTGTGGGCTATGAGATACAATAGTCAAAATGTATACATTATCAGCTATGTAATAGTTTGGCTGAAGTAAATCAGAATGTATACGCGATATTATATTTTTTAGATAGTAAACATATATATGACAATAATAAAACGTATATGTTGTAGGAAACTGAGAATAGAGAGAATAGCGAGATTAGTTATTATAGAAAAAGAATTGTATAAATATAGGTCTTCTTGACTTTCTCAAATGTCAGTTATCGATTGTAATAAACAAAATCTTATTAAACAAACTATATTGTTTTGCATTTAAAATCTTTTAACTTTCCAAATCTTAAATTACCTTAAACTCGTTAAATAAATAATTAATTCTTCACCATATTTATTATTATTATTATTTTTGATTAACGAATAGTGTATACACTGAGTCTCTTATTTAACATAAAGGAAGTAAGCATTAAGGCCGAAAAAACCTTTCCTTGAGTAACTAAGAGCCATATACTTAATAATTTATATAAGTATATTGATATTACAACTAACGATATTAAGATTAGAAATAGGATTGTTAATAGGATCAATTAGTTTAAATTACGTTGTTTTTGTTATTAGAATAGTGATCAATGTTAAGATCATTTTTAAGTTATTAGTTTATTATATGTTTAAGATTAACCCCCAATTGTTTAAATTAAATTATCTCTGACCTCCCCTTATTATATTATTATCCCAATTGATTATATTGTTGATTATCCCTTTTATACTATCCCCAATATAGTTATTATCAATATTACAATTCGCTCTCCCAATTTTCTTTATAAATTTAGTGATTATTACCTATTATCTGTTAACTATTGGAGCTAAACTGTGCACTGTTACTCCTCTCCTAATCTACAATAGTAACATTTGGTGCTAATTGTGTGGAATTGAATTTTTAAGTATCCAATAATATTTATTTATTATAAATTAAATGCTTTGACTTGAAAATTTATCTTGTTAAAAACAAAAAAATAAGTGTAAAATAGCTCAACAACTCCCACCGCAAAACTAGCAACCTGTTTAGAATTCACAAAACTTAAACCTGATATATAATTTAGCGAACCAAATAGCCAATTTGGTTCAACAAAAGCAAATCGAACAACCTCCATAAGCAAACATACCTGTTGACCCTAGGGAACTCAACCTAGTATCGTATCCAGAATTCATAGTAGAAGAACAAGATTCCATTTCCTGGCTTGAAGATATCGAGAAAGCCTTTGAAGCAAACTATATCACTAATGGTCGAAAAATCTCAGTGATTATCCCTAAATTAAAAGGATCAGCTTCCACATAGTGGATAACAATAAGAAATCAAAACTCACCAATCGACCGTTGGAGTGATAATGCCAATTCAGGTTTAAGTTTCAAGGCCAATTTTATAACCAAGTTCTGAACTGCTGAACTAGAAGAGAAGTAGTTTGCTCAACTCACTCAAAGAAAACAACTTCTTAGAGAAAGCGTCAATTCTTACTATGTGGCCATAGAAGAAATGATTCACAGAGTTGAGGCCGGAGGTCACCAGTATCCTAACTTTGCAAAAGCCCAGATGTTTATAAATAGGCTCCGCTCTGAATTGTTTATAGCAGTTTCCCTACTCACACCAAACACATTACAAGCTGCGTATGAGAGAGCAAAAGCGTTTGAAAATGCTTACAAACAAAATTCCTCCTATGCTGCTTTTCTAGAACAGACCTTCAGATATCCTTTTTAGATGGCTCAACACCTAAACATGCTGGTTCCAGTTCTAGCATCAAATTCAAATAGAACTGAAGCTGCAATTAAAAAATTAACTGAAGCCGTGAATAAAATGATCCAAACTCAGGATCAATGACGTCCCAAAGACCATATCAACTCGGCTATAGAAATCCTAATCCTATAGTTTGTTTTAACTGCAGTTGACCCGATCATATAAGCAGAAATTGTAACATCCTTTATCATAATAACGAACTCCTAGTTCCTATTAATCTACCTGTGAACACCCCAAATGACACTAACGCTCAAGAAATGCTGTTAGCATTGATGAATCTCCTGCAAAAAAATAATCAGACAGAAAATGGGAAGACCAACTCATTTACCTTGGAATCTGAGAAGAAGATACTTCTATTTTCACTCCTGCAGAAATAGAGATAAGAAAAAATAATCCAATAAAAATCTGTACTAAAAAATGAATGATAGATGAAGAAAATGCTGAATTAGTAGAAGAAGAAATGGCAGAAAATAAAAGAAACACAGAAGAACTACAACCCACCCTAATTCAACATAACCTACAAGAAGAAAAGAAAATAACAAAGAGAACCACACCTATTAGAAAGAAGAAACTAGAGAATGATACCTTACAAATATCATTCCTAGTCACTCCATATTCGATTGTTGCCAAAATTTGAGATAAACTGGCCAATATTACCTTTGAACAGTTGTATAAGGCTGCCCCTTCTATGAAAACTGATTTAATCTGTTCGCTACAAAAGAAAAAGATGATAGTTAAAAGAAAGATTCGTGCTCATGTAAACTTACAAACTATGAATAATTCAACTGCCCTCTACTGTGATGCCCAAGTTCAAGAAAAAGTCATTCCATTAATCGTCAATTCTGGATCCTCCAGAAGCATCATGTCATCATACTTGTTAAAAGAGTTAGGGTAAAAATCAATAGACCCTCCACCATAAACATGATCAATGTCCATGGTAAAAGTAAATGAGCAATTGGTGAAATATCAGACTTTCCCTTTGTTATAACAATAGGAATTTATATAACATTTAATACAGATAGGTATAGCAGAAATGCAACTATTAGAGCAGAAATATCAAAATTTAATATCTTATTAACAAATGTTTCTAGTATGAAACCAGATCTTATTAATTATATCTTTGAAAAATTAAATAATGCTTTTGATGATTCTGAAGAACATATAATCAATGAAATAATTTGTAAAATCAAAAAAAAATTTGATACATTAAATGAGAAGATCAATATAATAAATGAATCCCAAAGAATATTGACTAGAAAAATGGAAATATATCAATTCAGAGTGATAGCTAATAACAATAATAATCAAAGCAAAATTTTAACTTTATTAATTG